GGCTTTCTGGGCTGCGAGCGCACATTGCTGGCTCATGTCCAGCTTTTCATCTACCAGTACCCCCAAATCCTTCTCGGCAGGGCTGCTCCTACTGTTGTTTCCATTTTTTCTTTCCTTTATATATTCACCCAAGAAACAATCTTTTTTTCCCCCCTCATATTAACATAAGGTGGTCCCAAAGTACAAAGAGCTGAGACTCTACTCATGTGGTAGACATTTTCATCTTTGAGTAAAGTTGGTGGGAGCCGAGGACACTGAGCATCTGTCTATTTTTTAACAAGACTACAGGGTGTGACATGTGAGCACCTTCCAAGAGTGTAGTAAGTGATGCATCCCATGGGGCTGCTTTTCACATCCTCTCATTTGGAGAATGTAATGTTTCAGCCTTTGCAGGGCTGGGGACTGGAAAGGGAACCATGCTTTCACTGCAGCGGGGTCTGAGCTATATGACAGTACCCCCAGGTTGTTCAGCAACTTAGCTGGCTTGAAATAGAGCACTGGAACAAAATACGTTCTGAGTGATTTTTAAGTAAAAGCTAATGTGAAAATGTGGGAGTTTGAACCAATGTAAACACATTAAATTTAAAACGATTTTCAAATGTAGTAAAGAAAAAAAAACATGTTCCTGCTCTTGAAATTCCTAAAGGACACATTTTTCCTTCTGAGTCATGATTTAATTAGATTATATTTTATTAGACATTCTTTACAAATTTTAAAATACTGCTATTATACATGCACAAAGGAAAATCAGTTTGAACAATTGTATGTAGGCATTCATTGAAGTCAACCACAAAACAGGAACATTTTATGTCAGTTATCAATGTACTCGATATGTATATCTAAAGTGCATTATGTTACAAAAAATATAGAAAGTCAGCAGCACCAAGATACGTTCACAAAATAAATACACCAGTCAACAAAATAAATTATGGTAAATGTGACAATAATAATTGTCTCAGCCTTAGCAAAAAAAAAAAAAAAAAAAAAAAAAAAAAAGGAAAATTCACAATAACCAAATGTGCAGTTTCAGAGAGCAATGGGGGAAAAAAGGTTTTATTCTGAGCATTTATAATATTTACAGTTAATAAATATTTTAATACTTCCCATATGTTCACTATTACAGAATACTGCAATATGTCTTCCAAAAATCTCTTGCTGAAAATGTCAGCGCCTCCTGCAAAGAAAAAAAGGACAGAAAAAATAGAAAAATTAATTTTCACTTCAAATACATAGACACAAAATTAATGGCAAGAGTGCCACGGACTATAATGGGTGTGCCTTGCTAGTAAACATTTGCAATAATAGGACCAGTTTAAAAATGCTACAGTTTTAGACATCTTTTCAAGACCTCAACTATATTTCCTTCAATGCAACTCAGCTAGCGGTAAGAAGACCTGCAGTTTGTCACGACACTGAGGCCATCTATTCCACTATATTGTACACTCAGAGAAATAGGAAGGGGCTTTAGTTTTCTTTAGAGCCTTATGCAAGAAGATTCCTGAGTGCTACAGGTAGAAAAATTGTATCAACCTATAATAAATATGCCAAGTGCTTAAAAGAAAAAAATAGCGTTGGAGAAATGAGACATTTGTTTTGAAGATAAGAAAAAGGAAGTCCTTATAGAACACTGTGGCAATCATGCCCCTGCTGTGTTAACTGCTTGGGTATGATGCCAGGCTTCTGATTAAAACAGTCCCACGGGGCTTATTTGGTCTATCTTTCCCACTGATAGACCACCTGTTAGACAAGGGTCTGTTTATCTTAGAGATATATGTTTCTATGCTGTCGTGTACACGAGTACATGCAGTTCTTATGCAGTAAAGGCTGCTCAGGTCTTGAAGTGAACAGATCCTTGATAGCATGTCTCTTTAAGTGCTTGAATGAATGAAAAGACTATAATCCTGAAATTTTCCCTCTGTGAGCCAAAGAGCTTAGTCCTGAAAGAAAACGAGCATCACACCGTGTTAAGCTCTGACTCCTGTTGCGTTCAATCAAGGCTGAAACAGTCAGCTGTATACAGTCCTAAGATTTGGGAGTTTTCTGAGGGATGCTGGCAGCCTGGTGTGTCTTCTGTACTCCTCCCTTCCTTGTGAAGGCATGAGAACAAAAGCAGAGCCTGCTTCTATCCTGTCAGTATATTACTTATACTGCAATACTATTTTAAGTTACTTCTTAGCAGTGCTGCAGAAAATGCTGAAGGGTTGGGCTTTTTCCCTTCTGTCCCTGTGAACAGCACATTTCTGTAATGCGCGTTGGTTCCCTGGGAAACAGCTATAGGATGGAATGTGAAGCTATAGGATGGAGCAGGATTTGCTCTGTTGCTGGACTGATCGCCGAAGCTGCGGGTAACGTTCCACATGGCAGACGTGTGTGGGTGTGAGACACAAAAAAAAGCAAATCCTTGAGAGTTTAGGAGGGGGTTTTTTTATGTGTACATTGAAAGTGAGACTACATTTAACATTAGTAAGTCTACTCATTTGAAAGGTTTCTTAGGAAATTAGGTAATAACAGCTTAATTGAATTGGAATGGGAATATAGCTGGAATGTCCACGAGAAAGAATTTTTTAAGTAAGTGTCTGGCATGGAAATGCTAGCATGAAGCTCCTTAATAATTAACTAGTAATATTAGGGTGTATTCAGGCTATGCTACAATATATATAATAATGGCACACAATTCATACAGCATGACTGTATACGTGTGTCTGCAGTACACAGGCCTATTTTTAAGAGGGTGACATTTCAATTTGGCTTAGATTTTAGGCTTTGTTTTAGAGTTTGAGCTAAGCCACATCTTGACAATGGGCTCTTTACTAATGACTACTTGCAAGCTGCTTTCTGTGATTTAGTCCCAGATTTTGAAAGATTGGCTTCTTTTATGAGATATTTCCTATAGTAAGTCAAAAGATCTAGAAAGCACATTATTTTTGGTCTTTTTTCTGACCTAAACCCAAAATTTTGGGATCGAGATTGGACGGAGGGAATTGGCACGGGGATTTTAGTTCAGTGTGTTGAGCAGAAGAGAAGCACAGAGATACAGTGAAAAGCATGCTTAAAGTTTATCTTTGCACTTCCTTGACATTTGCCCTGCTGCATTATTCATATCTACTTCTTCACTGTAAAGTAATGATGCTTCTCCTAAGCTGCAGCTAGCCTTAGGGGTGCTACAAAAGCAGCTTCTACTGGTGTAGCATATGGAAATCCTGCCTGCACACACCTTCCTTGTCCCCCACCAGCAGATAGAATAGAAGTTCCTGATTCAGCTCAGTACAGCTGAGGAGTCAACCTCACTCAGATGTGGTCATCCCTCCATCTAAAATGCGCTTGCCCACCTTGTGCCAACAACTGCATAGACAACTGCATTGAACCTGACTCCCCTTATCTAAAGTACATGTCAGGGAGTTGGGACTTGCTTTCATTTAAAGTTTAGAAATTATATCTTTTGCCAGCCTACGGGGATAACTGCTCATATACGAGCAGTTTCTTAGAAGCTGAACCAGCACATTATGCTCTGTACTTGTGAAGAAGGAATTTCATTCTCCTGTTTTATGGCTTCTCTTTGTTTAATCATCCTCAATTAAGTATCTAAAATATAGGTCCTCTTTAGGACTCTGTTTCTCGCCCTGGAGAGATACTGCATCTTGGGCGATAATATTGGGAAGGTAAAGCTGGACTGCCTTCAGCAGTCTGGCCTCCACAGTAGAGCTGACTGCCTTCAGCCATCCAACCATACTTGAAACAGAAAGGCTGAACTAGGAAAATCAGCAGGGTTGTACCTGTCATTCTTTTACATATCCCATTGGATATACAACCAAAGACAGAGTAGCATGAAAAAGAAACAACACTCAAAATGCCCTGCGATGTTTTTTCCCTACGTTCAAGATTTCTATGTGCCAAAGACAGGTGCTATTTATTGGCCACCACAGTTCCTTAACACCCGTTGAAACATCAGGCGACTCTTGACCAGAGTCCCGGGGCGTGCCTTTCCTAAGGCGCTGAGACAAACCAGCCTCTCATGCTTTGCTACTAAGTGCTACAGCCATGCTAACTGGTTTATGGTCAGGGACACCAAATGCCTAGCCCTGAATGCCGGTAACTCCTGTAGATGCCAGCAGAAGTTGAGGTGATGGAGCACATTGCAAACTGGGGCCTGTAAAGCTTAACCCAAGACTGGATTTTAGAAAATCCCACAGCTGGCATGTCTTTCTAAGGGATTTACTGTGAGCAAGTGGCACTTCTCTTATGTCTCTATTCTGCCAAAGTGAAGGGGAAGAGGAGAGAAAAGGGAGGGGTTTTTGCTGTTGAAAATGCAAACATTTGAGGAGAACTGAGGAGTGGACTCCTTGGCTTTGTCTGCAAGTCTGCAGACTTCTTCTCAAGCTGAGATCACTGCAAGCAGATGAGTTGCTTGGGGCACCTAGGCTGAAGTCTTCAGCCCGCCACTGCCCTGAAAACCCTTCATTGTCATACATGAGGGAAGCACGTCTCTCTCCAAAAGCAATGCTCAACATTTTTCAGCAGCAACGTAATTGTTTCACGAGCTGGCAAAAAGATGGAGCTGAATTAAAAAGTCCTAATGGCAGGGAAAATTTTATGGCAAAAGGCTGGTCTGCGTTGTTTGCAGATATTACTAAGAGAGAAATTTTCCGGGTTCTCCCCTAAGGTTAAACAGTAAAATGAAAAACTGTAAAGTAAGGGTAGGAAAGTTGCCAAAAAGGGGAGGCGTTGAGAGGGAGGAAAGAAAACTTCGCCATTTTATAGATGCAGAGCCTTAAATAAAACTCAAAGCTTTCAATCTGCTGAGGCCCAAGTGTGGGACCAAGATCTGACGTGAGAGACACTACAGTTAAAACAGGAAAGGAAATTTTAATGCCTATGATGTGCTTTCTTTTTGCAGAAATAACTTTACTTACTACTCACGCAGCTTCAGGAAGCTCATTTTGGCAATAAGTGGTTTGCTTGAATTGTTTGTCATAGGAAGGAAAGACTTTGTCACTAGTGCAAAGTGGAAAGGGTACTTACTTACCTCCAGAAAGCACCCTGAGACTGTGCACTGCTTGAAAAGCCACTGCCCAGTTATGAGCATAAAGGTGTGCTATTACTCCAGGTTTGAGTGAGGCCTGGGCCTCTCACACTGAAGGATAACAATTTCAGTAAATATATGGTATGCCCCACAAAAGGATATAGCAGAATTACCTTAAAGTGTGATTATGTGTTGTAACAGAGTTTTCCAAGAGTGGGCTCTCGGTCACTCTGCTTCCATACACGCCAGAATTTAGCCAAGCCGAGCGGGCTCGCCTCTTTTTCTTCTCTTGTTCCTTACGTTTTCCAGGCTTTGCTTTCTTTTTCTTCCCCGATACCTTCAGGGGCTGCTCTTTGTAGGTCTGTGATTTGTTTGTCTCCTGAGTTAGGTATCTGCCCTCATCTTCACTACCAAATCGGACAGGGTAGTTCTTCGTATTGGTAGCAGGCTTAGGGTTAGGTGAAACCTCCGAAGTTGCACGGATTTCTGCAGTGTTGACACCTTCAATTAAATTTTGAAGGAATATTCTTCTTCGTAAGTCTTGGATTGACTTGCCCTTGTCATGCAATAGCTGGTGCTCTGATACAGCCCGTTTGCTAAAGAAAGGGAAGAGAGGAGGGGGAAAAAAACATTTAGGATTTGGTTACTGCCCAGTACTCGGCAGAGCTCCTCTCTCCTCTGGCAGTGGTGGCCACAGTGACTGTGTACCAGCTCTCAGGCTTGGAGACATCCAGTTAAATCAGACTGCTGGAGCAAGTCCTGCTTCTCAGAGTAGCTGCTCCCTACAGAGGAGGGAAAGACCTAAGCGGGTAATAATTCTCAGCTGACCGATCACACACCACTGGACCTGGAGTTGGATTAGTCACTGCTCTGTTCTAGGAAAGCACTATAACTCTTAATATATCACACTTCAGGCAGTAAAAGCAGGAAGGCAGTTGTCAGAGATAGGAAAACTAAAGGGTCAGATAATGGAGCACTGCAGTCAAGCAAGAGAGAGAATAACAAGTACTTGTACTGAAGCCGGAAGCAGTGTTTATACAGCATCATTCTAAAAATTTTCTTCTGCTCAGTCATGCACTTCAAAAACATAAATAAATGCATAAAAGTGCATTTCATTTCTAAATTTAAATAAATGCAATTGCAGGAGCGTAATGGAAAAATGTTCGAATTTGGGTGCCTAAAATGTAGGCACTTCAGTCCATAATGAGCTATCCAGAGAGGCAGCATTCTGAGCATCAGCAGAGATGAGCCTCAGCCGCTCCTGTTGATTTTACTGCTTAGCCACTTGTGTCTGTCTATGGTTTTAGATGCCTTTCTATTATTCCTGTAAATGTGAACTTTTGGGGCCAAATTTCTTGTCCGCTGTGCTCTCTGAGTTTTATGCTAGCCTTCTTCACTGGATCTTCTTCAAGAGCATCCTGGTTTGTTTGAGTGGGTCTCTGGTACTTTTCCAGAGTTCATGACCTTTTGGTTCACTAACCTCTGTCTTGTTTTCGAGGAACTGGGAGATGGTTAGCTATCTGTCTTTTAGAGATGTTGTACTGGCAAAGAAGGTATGAAACGTCCGAGGAAAGAAGATACAAGTGGCACCTGGATAATAAATAACCGTGAGAAAATACATGCTTTTTCCTTGGTGTGGGATAGACGCACAGCTGCGCTGTGAACCACAGAAAGAGCGCAAGCTGGGATTTTAGCTATGTTCCCATGAATGCTATAATACAGTTTATCCTTCCAATTGCCCTACTTCAGTGTGCTGAGATTGGCTATGTATCCTCTCATCTTGCATCAGGGTACTGCATGTGACTGGATTCTTACCGGCCAAAGAAAATGAATTCACTTCCTTGCCTGTCGTATAATCATTTGGTCAGTTAGCTGGATAAGAGGTTGTTTCTGCATGTGGGTGAAATGGGAGAAGATACATAACTGTGAGTGAATATTCCTTCCTTCCGTCCGTCCCATCCCTAATTATTCTGCTACGTTACCAGGTTTCAAAATGTGGTGGACAAAGATAGTATGCTAAATGATTGGGAGTGTTCTGCAATTTATCTTTCTCAGTCCCTTCAGCCAAACTCTTTAGATTTGTGATTTGATCAACAATAGAGCTACTTGAAATTGGCAACTTCAAGTAGCATTGGTTCAAGAGCATCCCCTTCACTTTTTGTCTCTGTAGAGCTGCACTTTTTGAGTATTGGGTTCAAGTGACGGGTTCAAGTGATATTACATCTCTATTGCTCAGTGCAAAATTCAAACAGCAGCTTTCCCCCATTCCACAATGAGACTGAAAGATGACTGTTGTTTTTGCATGAAGTGATACAGTAGGGATACTTGCTCAAAATCAGGCCTAGTTATACCCAGGTTTGTGAGCACACATTTGACCAAACATTGCCTATGTTTTAAGTGTCCCAAAATCAGTTCTGGATGATTTCAGGCTTTAGGGCAAGTATTTTATGCCCTTCAACTCAATGTCCCTAAGCAAAAATGTAGTGTGATAATACTGAGCTGAACCCATATTGTTTCATTCTCTTCAGTGCAGCTGTGACCATTAATGCAAGCTCAAGATCTCCCCCAGGAGAATTTTTTTGACCAGTGCACTCCCTGAAGCTCTCCGATAGCCATCTCTAACAACCTTCTCGTTAAGGCCAGTCTGATTTGTGAGTATGCTAATAAAACTAGCACCTTGGACTCCTCTGAGTGGCATACTTCTGTGCTGCTTGTCAAGCTGTCCATTGTGGCTCACGTTACGTTCCTAGCTTCAGTAATCTATTTTCCCAGGATATTTGCATGGGAAATGCAGTTCTCCTTTCACTCTTCTAGTTTATAAAAAGCATACAAAATCTTAGTGCTTTACTGAGTCTAAAACAGTATGTCTCATGTGATGAGCAAAGCTTTCCTACTGCCTCTTGTAAACTACCAAGGATAATTCCTTTTATCACAGACAACCTAAAGCTGCCTTAATCCTGTAATGTGTATTTGGCCAATTTACCCACTGTGACAAAATCTTGAATCTCTAAAGCCTGTTATTAAAGTCCTCTTGATTGAAAAGCTATTCCATTTTACAGAGCTGAAACCTAAAGATTTGGTTCCAGTACACACAAGGCAGTCAAAGAACATCACAAGATCTACATCTTGTGTGAGCATACATTTCCAAAATAATGCAGGGATTGACGTGTGAGGGGTTAGTGTGCCAAAGAGGGTGGGTTTCTGTTTAAATGTCTGTATGATATTTAGCATTAAGTCTGGCCCCAAATAACATTCTGCTATTCCAGATGATTGTATAACATTACGTAGTGTTACATTTCACATGACTTTTATTACTCAGCCAGACTTAAGGATTACATTTTGCCTACCAATTTCCTTTGTATGCTCTAGATCAAAAATCTTCTTAAAACAAAGAAGATGTGGTAGATACATATCTCTTTGACCTTCTGCCTCCTTCTGGCTCAGTTATTCAAACAACTCCTGTGTTTGTAAATCAGGGAAAAATACTTGCCTAGGAAGGCTGATGTAAGAAGTGCTTCATAATGGAGATATCAACAATATCTCACCCACACACACAGAGCAGGAAGGCAATGGAAACTGGAATGATTGCATTCATATATTGGGTACGGTGTGTAAAAAAATATTAGGCTGTTAGGGTTAAGATGACCCACTAGAGGTCCCTTCCATCCTTCTATAAAATGCACCTCTCATTCAAGGAAAAAGAGTCTGACCCCAAACCAAGTGCAGTAAATGCTAAGCTTACATGTGGTAGGCACTTTTGAGAGAAGGATGTTGATGGTTTGTATTTGACCGGAGTGTCCAAACTAATTACTGTATCCAAGTATACTACGCACATATGAGACTTAATGTCTCATTACAGAGAAAACACTAGAAATCCATGACTTGTGACTATTCTGACTTCATGTACTTCTAGATAAGCTGTTCTTTTCAGGCACATTCTATCTTCATTTTTTTCACTGGCTATCTAGCGTCACTGAGAGGCAACATTCTTCAACTGACAACTTTCTGTCTCAGAGTTGCTCTTATTTAACCGTTATTATCCTTGACTACTCATGTTGGGTCTGATCGTAAGTTCAGCAAAATAACTGGAAAGAATTCAGTCAGCTCTCTGCCTGGATTTTGCAAGACCGAGTGCCCTTGCCCCTGGCTCCAAAGCGAGTGAAAGCTGCTCGACCTATCTCAGGGTTAGGAAAAATATTTTGAACAGATCTGGGGACATGATGCTGCAGTGTCTGGGCACGCTGATAAAAATATCTAATTTCACTTTGAGGTATTACTGGGTTTCTCAGAGATTCTTTAGCAGCTAAAGCATTTCTATAACAAATAATATGTCTGGCAATCTTTTCTTGGGACAATTTGCTATTGCTTTCCATGGGAGATTTGCCTCAGTAAGGTCTGTAGAACCAGGCCTATGGCATTTTGATTATTTTTGCATGGCTATAATAATGTGCTTCAGTATTTTCATCCGTTACTGGTTTAAGCCTTTGACTGAAAAAAAATATCTCTAGGCTTAAGTGAGTTATTAACCATTAACTCTAGGAATGGTTTGTGGTGATATTAAAACAGGACACATGTTTGAGTGTGGTGCCTGTGTTTGTGCTGTACCCACAAACAAAACTACGTGAATGCCACTGACTGACAGCTAACTGGTTTCTTGTGTGTGTTTTACATGCCATAGCAAAGAGGGAGCTGAGAAATGCATTTTGACTGTTTAGCTTCCACTTTTTTCCCCTCCTGTCAGGATGGAATAGGGATGTTGGGAAGACCTCTAATTCTGACCTTTAAAAACAAGTGTTAGAACAACCCTAGTTTCAAAAAGTGAAAGAGTATTTCTTAGCAAATCTAACTTTTTAAAAAAAAAAACAAATTTGGCTTAGATCCAGGTCAGAGTTTCTTAGCCAAGGAAATACAGCATTTGAATGTACTTCAATTATTTTCATTTTTTAATTTCTGAAACTGAAGTTTCGTTCCGCTATATCCCAAGAGAAGAAAATGGTCTCAAATGAAAGAAATAGCTCAACGATAGTTTGCAGGAGTATGAAACAGCTAAGCAGTAATGGACTGGGAAGAATACACTGTAGCATTATCAGCAATAACATGTTCTACACAATTTGCTGTAGGAGATTTGTAATAGCTGTCTGCCTGGTGCCAAAGTTTAGGTGTGTCTGAAGTCACTTCACCTGGGGGATTTTTTTTGTTGCTTAAATGGCAGAGGAAGCGCTATTTGGAGATCTTGTCCTTATGTATGTGATAAAACAGTTACAAGGAAACCCATGTGAAATTGTTTGCTGTGTCATGTTTCCCTGTAAGTTGTGACTGGATTTTCCAACCCTCTTTCTCCAACCTGACTTCCTTTTGAACTTAGTAACAATACAGCCCTCCACAGTATGACTGAAGTGTTTCTTCCTTAGAGAACCTGATGCAAGTCCAGTGAAAGCCAGTGAGTTAGATGTGTGAGACAGCTGCTCCTACATCAGCCCAGTGGCTTCCCTTCTGCACTTTGCGTAGGGGATATTAGTATAAACCATGCGGATTATTTTGGAAGGAGCAAAAAGGTCATTTCCTGAACAGACTCTCTTAAATTACATTGTCATTTATCAAAAAAATATGCTTCTGCCTCCAAGTCAGATACTGGACTCCCTTTGGAAATTTTTTTTTGCTGAAGCGGCAGAAATCCAAAGAAATTGTTCAGTACTTCAGCTTCATGATGGCCCTCACTACTGTGTGTTTCCCCTACCCTTATCAACACTGGCTCCACGCCAGTGCCGAAGTATGCGGTACTTAGTGTAACACACAGCAGTTTGATAAAACGGGATGCTCCCTACTAGGACCCTCCCAGGACGCGGGAAGGCGCACGGGCAGTAGCCGCATGCTGGACAAGCACACGGCTGCACTGCTGCTCCCCTCGGAAGAAGAGACAGCTTTAACATCTCCTTCCCAAAAGTTTTATAAGTTCAGACAGCCGAAAAGCGCCCTTTCCCTGCCCCAAACGCCCTCTGCCTATCGCTTAGACACCACCAGTGAGCACCTGGGGCAGGTAACCCGGAGCCGCTTCGCTGCAGAGCCGCGCCGGGAGCGCTGCTGGAGGCTGCAAACCCCCCCGGGCTGCTCCCGCCGC